TGACAAAATAATTTTCGTGAAAAAATTGTCAAAAAATGCAAATAAGTGACTCTCTTTTGAAAACTTCTACAAATAAAATTTTTCTTTAAAAAAAATTTATTGACATTTATTTTTATAAACAGTGAGAACATGTTTATTTCTGTCACTTATATACATACATACATACGTATGCGATTTTTGAACTCTTCTTTGCAAATGGTCAACGAAACATAATATTTATTGAATTTTTAAGATGACAATCACGAAATTCATCGAAAATGAGAGGAATTATTGAAAATGTACATTTTTTCTCCCTTAATTCTCTCGAATTGCATCTCTTTTCAAAAACAACGTAAACAAAATACCTTTTTATTCAAGTTTCTAGTTGAAAATTTTTGTACAATGCATTAAACGTCAAAACATGTATGCATAATATAACTAAGTGGGTTAACAGTTGAAACACAGTTGGAGTTATTTTACGTTTTATTATTAGAATACGAAGCAAAAATCTTTTTTTAATTCTAAAAACTTATGTGCCAAATTCTAAATAAACTATAACAAAAAAGTAAAACAAAAAATTTTAATTCAAATTGTCTTTTTCCCATTCAGTAGTTCAAAAAGATTATAGAAGAAGAAATTTATAAATGACAGATTAAAGAACAAATAAAAATTTCAACATTCACTTGTATTCAAATTAATTCAATTATGATTTTGTAAATTATATTTTTAACCCAATCCAATCAATTTTATCCGTGTACGCTCTATAATAACATTAGTCAAAGGTAAATGAAAAACAAAAAATTATTAAATGAAATACTCAATCATAATTAAAATTACAGACTGTCACTATCGTTTTATATGTAAACACATAAGCATATACAGCCGCTTCATGCTATAATACTTGCTTATACTTCTAGCATCTACATATGTATACGTAAACGTTTACATTTTTTAATTTATTAGGAAAAAATTTGGCATATAGACCGCTGTTATTAAACTACTTTTAACATAAAAACACACCTTGAATATTAAACGAATATTTTTCAAACTTCATTTATAATTTTCATTATTAGAGTTTTATAAGTGTATAGAGCTATATAGGGTTAATAATATACATGTTCATATATGAGTACAATACAAACGTGTAAAAAAATTTAATAATTATTATAAGAATTCATAGTTATGTATGTTCAGTACATATTGTATAAAATTCAATATAATTTGAACGAAGAAAACAAAATTATTGCTAGATAGCTATCTTAGTAGTATAATCAATCAATTCGTTTTGGTGTATGGTAAAGTATTTTGAACGAACTTATAACTGCCATTGAACTTCAATATTTTTTAAATATTTTCATCATGTTCAATGGTCCTACCCATACATTATATTTATATGTATATATGTGTGTGCATTTATAGATAATTTTTAATCATATAATATTGATGATTTTTAAATGCATAATAAAAAAAAATGTTAAAAATTTTAAATTACAAGACTGTAATCGAATAGACATATCAAATTGGTTTGAATAATTGCGATTAAAGATGATTTAAAAAATGTGATAAAAAGTATGAGTATTTATATGTAAGAATGTATACATACACACTAATATACGAATAAAAGAATTGCAATTCAATTCATTAAAGAAAACTCTTTGATCTTAAAATTTAAGTAATTTAATTGTTAGATAAAATTTTTAGGTCAAATTTTTTTATTTAAATCTTTATAATGTAAAATTCTTAAACGTACACTTCGTATACTAACTGTATATAATTAAAAATATGGTCGAGTAGTTAGGGAGGCAGAGCGAATTTTTTATAAATTAAATTCTTAAACTAAAAAATTCTAAAATTCTAAATTATAAGAAGTAAAAGCGTAATAACGTACGATTTTATTGAATTGAGGAACAGACCAGTACAAATTTTAAAACGGAGGAAAATCGACTGATCGAAACATTTTCGACTGCACTGCTGTGAAATGATACATCTACAATAAAACGCATCTTAAGGGTATTAGTTTAAGAAATAACTAGGTAATTTCGAACTTTAAATAAATTATTCAAAAATTAATGAATTTTGAAAGCTGAAATCCAATTACAAAATGTCAAATTCATAATTAATGTAATTTGTATAATATTTACTTAACCTTCTTGTGTACGTATTATATATTATTACATTTATTACAATTAATCAAATATTTTCTCTCTGATCAAACCTTTAAAATTGCCCAGATAGTGTGCCAAATAGGTATCCAAGAATGTTTAAAAATTAACATTATATTATAAAATTAATAAAGTTTCAAACCAAATACGTATATGCTTGCATGTATTATAACACAATAAATTATGTCAGTTATACCGTTATACAATTGAATTCATATTAACATACAATCTGTTATATTGAAAATTCTTTCAAAAACAATTATACCTAATTCAAAATGTGAGATTTGTATTAAGAATAAAATTGTGAGATCTTTATTAGCTTATAACTAACTACATAATTGTATAGAAATATTATAGTCGACCATAAGAACGTTGAATAATAAAATTCTTTAAGTTTGCAAAAAAGCAATACAATGAATCATCATTATCATTAACGTTATTGATTTGAGTGCATTGTATTTTAAGAATGAATTGGAAATTACATTGAATGAATTTCTTTTTTTTATTTACGAGAATATTAAATTCTTTTCAAATTATATTTTGCTTAATGTTGTTTCCAAAAGTTGTAATAATTAATTTCTTATTTAGTCTGTAATGTCGTGAAGGAAGAGTAGACGTATATAAATTGAGTTTTTTGAAATAACACATCAAACATTGTTCAAACATTTTGCTTGATTCGATTAAAATTTGAATAAGGTTTTAAATGTGACCCAAGATCACTGTAAAATATTTGATTTCTAAACTCTTACTCAATATTTTACAAATGAAATAATTATGAGATTATTCTCTTAATTCTCAATGTTATAACGTAATTCAGAATGTATAGGCACACAATATTCGAATAATCGAAATTAAATTTGGAAAATAATCGAAATATTTGTAAGCGTTAGAAAATTCCTATTAAGGAAATCAAATTGTGTACACTATATCTGACATTTCCTAATATTTGTATTAGTATGTATATTAATTAACATGATTATCATGATTAACATGATTTAATTTATAATAATGTAAAATATCGGTGTATAGTAGTGAGGTAATTAAATGAGTCAGAGATTTAGTATTAATACCTTCAAATTGTATGATTGTAGATTGTTAGAAACATGATGTTCATACTGTAAATTTTGTTTTATTTTTCACATACGTGTGTATATATACATACATGTATACACATAAGCACATATAATTTGTTATTATGTTTTTGACCACGAAGCATTTTTTTATTTCAGCATTTTTTCTTCCTTGATTGAATAGAACGATTGTAGATGCATGCCAGAATCTATTGTATATTATAATAAAATTCCTGTTATATCAAATCTTCATAATATTTATTACATCATGATATTCTCGTGCATTGCCATTGAAAAAAACACATAGCAGTTTGTGTAAAATATTGTGCATATGCATTTTTTTTATATATTTATATGTAGTTATATAAATGTGTGTATATAATAATATTTCCCTTTGAATATTCTATAGAGAAATTTTTTATAAAAAATAATATAAAAATTTTAAGTACATCATGCATAAAATGCGGAATTTGTCAAAAAAAAAAAAAGAGAAAAGGCAATGATCTTGGATCTTTTGAAAAAATTCTTTAATTTTTTTTAAGTTTAAAAGAAATCAAGTTCGTTTCATACCATAATGGAATTGTAATAAAATCGAAATGGTGTTTGTAAAAGTGCAAGAAATGGAAGAAAAAATTCTGTTTTTTTAAATTATTTGAAATTTAACCCAGAGGAAAAATTCATAGAATAGCATAATATTCTTTTACAGAGTTTTTCTTTAAGCTTGACCTTTGCAGCGCCCGAATAACTAGAATTTTTTCCAAATTAGTGAAAAAAAAAAAATTTTAATGAATTTGAATTTTTCATTATCATAAAAAAACAAGTAATTTAGTGTATTTTATAATACGATTTGAGATATTGCAGAATGAATTGAAAGATAGAGAAAATTTTCAAATAATTGTATTAGAAGTTTTGAATTTCTAATTAATAATTAATGTTTAAATTTCTATATTTAATTTAATATTAAATTGCTTTTTAATATTCTAAAGAAATTATGAATTCCAGTAAATGATTTTTCAAATTTGACAGATGACTTGGAATAATCGTTCTTATAATTTGAATTAGAATTATAAAATTCAAAAAATAATTAAATCGCATTTATGAATAAGAATATTTGATAAAAATGAATTTAAGCCAAAGTTGAATGAATATTTGAACGTAATATGACAACATTCGGTTTTGTATATTACAAATAAATTTGAATATTTGATGAGATATTAAACATTTTAATATTTTGACAAATTATTCTTAAAAAATGAGTGAGTTTAATGAGTGATGGGGACGACTACACGCTAATGTGTTCAAGTCAGCTTTCACTGAAGATAAGTGAATACAATAAGTATTTACAATAAGTCACATATTCTTTGTTATCGTAAAAAAATATGATCAAACTGAAAAGCATTTTTAAATTTTGTTTAATTTTTCTGTTAATACTTAAAGTGCAATCACCTTTTTTCACTACTGAACCACTGAACATTGAGCTTAAGAATTTTTAAATTATTTACCCCACAATATTTTTTACTTTAAATTTCAAATATTAATTCTTTAAATAAAATGATATGATTGGAATATTTCTAAAATATTTCAGCTTTGTAACTTTAATATTACTATCATTAACATTATTATAACAGCACTTGTCTATTGTGAAAACGGATTTTTAAGGATCACCATGACAATATAAAACTAAAAATAATAAGATATTCGAGAATATCACTTTTATGACCAAGTTCACTTAATCAAAATCATTAATTAAATTAAAATTTTATGTAAATTTCAATTATGATACACTTACCTCATTTTCTTGGACTTTATCATCAATAACACCCTCTAAATATCTGACTTTTGTTTCCAATTCTTTATTTCTTTCTAAAAGTGTTTTACCAAGTTCAGCTGCCAATTGTAAATCTGAAAAATATTAAAAAAAAAATAAATTATATTTAATTGTAATTTAATAAAAAATTATTTGTTTTTATTTGTTTTCTTAATTATTCTTATTTTATTAAGTATGATAAGAAGTCATGATTATTCAAAAATTAATTTAAAAAAAAAAGTAGAACTAAAATCCTTTCAAAGACTCACTTATTTCATCAAATATATTTGAATCATTTGAATCATCTATATCATCTACATCACCATAAATTAATTCATTTATAAAATCACTTGAATTTCTTAATTCAATAAGTTCTAAAACCATTATGTCAAAATTTTTGCAATAAATATTTCAATTTTTAAATTAAATAATTTTAAAGAACCACACAAAATTCATAAAAAAAAAAATTATGAAAAAGATTTTTTGAATCCACTGTAATCACATTGATTGTTCGCCTTCAACTAAATTCAAATTTTAAAAATATCTCAGAACTTAATTAGAATTTTTGAAAATTAAAAAGAAAATTTTTTTTTATGATATTTTAAAAGTAATATGTTTTTGTTTTGTTTTTAAAAACAAAAATCCCATTATAAAAAGAAAAAGAATTTCTTAAGAAGCTATAAAATGTGAATAAAATTCGGTTAAATTGCAAAATTTCTGTATACCTGTGGTTCTATAAAGCATATAAGTAACATTAAAATTGAAGAAACATTATTGAATTCAGTTAACGCTTGGAACGAACAATTGGCGAATAATATAAATAACAGTGACTGTTTTGACATTATTTAAAATAGTAATTGACAAGCAAAAAGAGTTCTGGATATTTATATCTTGTTTCAAAGAAATTGTAGTAGTCGAAGGTGTTAATAAATGAAGGAGTTAAGTGAATACTTTGACGAAAATGGGAATTTAAATAACATTAGGCATCTGTTACATAACTCCATCTTTCGGTGTTTGTCAGTGAAGGAGGTAAAAATTAAGATATTCAATTAAAATATTCAATGTTGCTATAATATGTTGAAATTATAAGATATTAATGAAATTATTGCAAGACCGTCTTGCGTTGTGGCACAACAAGAAGTTCCTAGTTTTTTAACAAAATTGTTATAAGAAAATATTAAGAATGGATAACAAACAAGTGAGAATGTTAACGTAGCTTTTAAAGCAAAAAAATTGTTGATTCTATGATCTTCTTACGATAGGGTGACTAAAGAGCTCCGGGCTGGTTGAAGGTCCGAGATACGGGAATTTATCGAAAGGATAGCTTTCGAGAGATCGCTTTAAACGTGATTAATGTTTGTGCGAACAATAGGAAAATTTCTTGAGCCTCAATAGCATAATTTTGTTTATAGTGTCAATGTGTTATGCCATTAATTATAAGAAATTCATATACCCTATTATAAGCTGAAACATTTCCTTGTTTATCACATTATTTTGTCATTTTCATATTCGTTTCAACATAAGTAGATACATATATTTATGTTGTAGTCAACAAACATAATCCTTGTTGAATCTCATTGGTTTCAGAAAAAAAACAACTTAAAAGTTAAGTTATAAGTTAAAAAAATTTAAAAACAAAAAAATTAACACAGGTAGCTGAAAATCTACTGGTAAATCCAAAGACTCGGGTGCAATATAATATTTTAAAATTGCAAACAAATATACAGGTAGCGTAGTAGTAAGAGTAAGGGTAATTTCAATTCTTGGAAATTTTTAAAATATTCTAAAGATTTGATAAATGGTAATAAATGGATTTAGACATATTTAATTTATTTAAAATTCAATATGAATTAATCGGACATCACATTTCATCCCTTAGACTAATTATAAATTAAATTTTTTAATTATAATTGAATATAAATGATAAATAATTTTTTTTTGGGTTAAACAGACATTTCAATTATGATGGAAGACGTACAGGACCATATTAGTAAAAATATTAGTGCAAATACATAGGTAAAAAACAGTTCAGAACAAATAATATATGTAATTAATTTGATAGAAATTTTAAAATTTAGGCAACACACTGTAATTAAATGGTTTGTTTTTGAAGGAAGTATGTGTATAACAATCGAATCTTATGAAATGGCGTCGATTATTAGTGCTAAGTAATTTATTTGAGATTATTTTATTTCAGATCATTTTATACAAAAAATTGATTGTTTACTTGTATTTGACGATGCTGATTGAGAAATTTTAAAATTATTATTAATGTTTCATTAATTAATAACATGTAAAACAATTTTATTATTTTATAATTTTACTCAAATTCAAAAATGATTAAAATTATTTAGGTATACAAATTTTCAATTAAACAAAACCAAAAATAATTCTCAAAATATTAAAAATTTTAAATTTTAATTCAGAAATATTCACATGATTTTTTTTTGATTAGTGTTGTCGTCACAATTTTATTATTGTGATTTTATAAGAATTTCTTAATGTTATTTTTTTAGACATGCAGCTTCAATATTTATAAGTATCTAAAATCTATATGCATTAAATTATAAAATCCACGTTAATATTTCAAAAACTACTGTAGTTATTATGACTTAGAGTAACCGCAGCAGCCACCTGTGTTGTTTTATTATACACCATGTTCGTAAGTACGTACATATGTACTTAAGTTTATTTAAAATATGCTTTTCTTGTGTAAACTCGATGACGCTCTTTTAAAAATTTTCATTATTTTTGTTTATTTTTATTTTTTTTTGTTTTTCTTTTCTTTTTTTACATTATTTATGTTTTAATTATAAATTAAGATAACCTAAAAGAATATTACATGCATATTATAAAATACGGTTAAAATATAACATGTATTGAAAATGTTACGTAAATAAAACTTTTGAGAGCCGTACGTACATCCATTTTAAATATTAATATTAAAGATAAAAGAGTAAAGAAATCAAATGCAAACATGTTATATTTTAAACTACAATATTAATAACAGCAGCAACAACAATTAATACGCAACAAAACTACATTAATTATACTCAAGAAAAAAAAAAATGAAAATTTATTTAAGATTACGCCTAAATTTACAGGTTATTTCATTTAAATTACACCATAATAAATGTATGTATGTACCTGTAAATATGTTATCTGATTTGTAAATATTATTACAGGAGCATATATAATAAATATTTTTATAATACAGTGTTTAACAGATTATCTGACTCAGTCAAAAATAAAATTTATAATACTGTATTATTGTTATACATTTGTAGGTATAACTACTCTACTTTTAACTATTGTATATTATGTTGTATATTGATGTATATATGTATCTATAGAATGTTGATATAACATTAGTGTATGTTTTATTGAGATGAAAACAATTGATCTCACGCACCTAATAAATTTAATGATTAAAAAAAACAAAAAATTCATTCATTTACATTTTTATAGTTTTTATAAGTTATACTGCCACGCTACTGCAATAACAATCATTGTCTAGTTTAATATATTATATAGAGATTTTAGGTATATTTTAGTAAAGATTGTTAATGCCGATGTGTCTGACTATTGAAAATATTTTAAATTGTGATTTTATTTGTATTCAAATGATGTGAATTGTGAATTTACAAAATAAAATATTTATAATATCTCCCTTCAATTCTCTTTTCGTTAATCAACATTTTAATATTCTCTTTATTTACATACATTGATAAGGTACAATATGTATTGTATAAGGTATAGGTAAAACAAAAATGTAAATTATGTTACGTACGAGTCCGCTAACTGATAAAAGAATAAAATTTTATTGGAAAGGAAAAAAAAAAAGTAGTTTAAATTTATTGTTGAGATTTAAGATTAATTTAAGATTAAAAACTATGTATGTATATTTTTATTACAGTGTTATTTAAGAGAAGAAATCGAGTTACTTAATTTTCTCTTTTGTATTATGGCGAACGAATTATTTTTGTGGGAACCAGGAAAAAAATGGCTATATTCGAATTAATAATTTCGAATCAATTAAAAAGATTTTTGGAGAAATTGAATTAATTAAAGCTCAGTTTATACAGCTTACCTATTTAGTTAAAAGTTCGCCTTTTATTTGGTTAAGAAAATATTCTAATCTGATTTTTGGAATTCATAGCATTTAAAGTTTCGAAGTGTTTTTTTTTCACTTTGATTTAGAAGACCAGCTTAGAATTACTTAAATTAAACCCGATTTTTTTTTATCGTAGATTATATGAATGCAATAATATAGTAATTGTACTCGTAACATCTTTTATTGAAAAATGCTCAAGGTGATTGATTTAGGATCTAATTTAGGACTAATTGAAACATTTTGCCGGAGATTTGATGTGTATATACATATGCGCGTTATCTACATATATAATCTAAATCCTATTGTTTTTCAAATAATAGTATCTTGAAATTTTTATATTATTGGTAATTTTAAGAAGAAATAATGGAAAATGTTGAACGTTATTGAATAAATCTAGTAATAAATGCAAAAATATAAAAACAATTTACGAGCCTGATTCAAAATTTTGCTAAAATTTGGCAGTTTTCCAATATACATGATGATATCATAAAAATTTTACATTAATATTTTTGCTGCCTTAAAATTAATTTTAATTTTTTCTCATTTCCATACACAATGCAGCGGTATGATCAAATAATTGCTCATCGTCGTAAGTATATTATTAAATTAAAGTGAGCGTTATTATGAGACTATGAGCATAAACAATTAAAATAAAAATTTTGTAAATGAAATGTATTTGGGATTTATAGAAAGCACTTTAACATTTTCCAACAATTTCGAAATAAAATTTAATTAATTTGTATCTTAAAGATTCCGGTAGCGAGTGAATCTTATTATCATACAAAAACAAATTAATCATTTCTTGGCACTATTATAATTGAAACTAATTTAAAAATGTGTTTGATTTACTTTTAGATTTAAATATAATAAATTGGTATGAATTAAATTAAATAAAATCAAAAATCAGATAATGATTATTTTCTTTCGAATAGTGTATGTATATCTCTTGAATCTTGATATCAAATTTAATACTTAATTGCA